GGGGCCCCAGACTGCGAGAGGGCACAGGCCGGGCTGAGGGGGCCCCCCCCCCCCCCCCGAGTGCACAAATTTTTGTGCACCGGGCCTCTAGTTTAAAATAAAATCCAAAGTCCCTACTGTGATCTTCATACTCTACTAACCTGCCTGTCCAACCACATCTTCCACTCTTGCTCCCTGAGCCATACCCACATTGGTCTCCTTGCTATTCTCAGAGTGCACCAAGCATAGTCCTCTCTCAGGCATTTGACTTGTCTTCTGTGCCTGGAACATCATCACAAAACTAATATTCTGGATCTTAATTTTTTTCTTACCTGAAGCCTCACAAATAAACTTATCTCCTCACACTATCTCCTATGGGATGTCAAGGCAAATACAGGATAGTGAAAGATCTTAACAGCCGCAGGATGATCTGTTTCTCATCCTGGCCTTTTATACTAAAGTTAAATAAAGCCAAATGCATTAGTTTTTACTCTGTCTTTGTCCTTGGCCTTTGCCCAGTTCTTTTAGTGAACACACAGGACAAGGAGAATAGTAAAGAAAAGGACAAAGAACAATTGTTAAAACTACCAACCTGCAAAGAACCCCAAGCAAAGGGAAGAGTTCTGTACATTTCCAGTCAATGTGGAAGCATGCTCGAGTTGGCTGCAAGGCTTGAACTTCTCTGCATGTCTCAAGGCCCTGGGTTTATTGGAAGGCCTCTTTTTCCTGTAAAATCCATGTCTTGACACATTTCTTTAATGATTTGTAGTAATAGAAGAGTATTTATGAAAATGAGCACTCTATAGGGGGTGTGTGGGGTGTGAGTGTTGAGAATGCTGTCTTACTAGTGGTTATTGGGAAAGTAGCAAGACATCCATCCCATGGATCAATTTGTTGTGTTTAATTGGTAAGAAAATCCAGTCTTTCTATTGGAGGTGGCTGTTACCAGTCTCTGTACTTTCCTTTATGAATACAAAAACTTGGATGCCGTGCTAGTTACTTAAGAAGAGGAATTCCACTTTTCTTTGAGAATCATTATGTAATTAGGGCTTCATAAACTTGTTTTAGTTATAATTGGTTAATTATGATTTAGCTAATTATAATTTTATTCAAATTGTCAGAGTGTAGCTAGTGGAAGTCTCTTTTCAATTGGCTTCTGAGTCTTTTTTGATATCATCTCAAAATGTGCAAGCATTGCTCTTTGGTAACAGCATTTTTTCAGGCCCATCCTCCATTCTTTATACCCCAAGACTCCTAGTTCTTTTTAGTGGGGAGAATAGGATTAGATATAAAAATCTAGGCTCTGAGGATGAATATCATGTTGTTTTTTTGTGTAGAGAAATAGTTATTTCGTTTTAGTGATATACTAGTAAATACGTAGATGTGAGTGTATACACATGCTTATGAACACCCGCTCACATTGATACTTTGTTTAACCTTAGCTTAATTTTTTAAGTAGACTATAGTTTTTAGAGCAGTTAATGGTTCACGGTAATCTTGAGTGGAAGGTGCAGAAATTTCTCATATACCTCTTACCTCTACACAATGCATAGCCTCCTCAATCATCAATACCCCCCACCAGCATAATACATTTGTTAGAGTTGAACCTCTGTTGACACATCATTATTTTTTTAAAAAATATATTTTATTGATTTTTTACAGTGAGGAAGGGAGAGAGATAGAGAGCTAGAAACATCGATGAGAGAGAAACATCGATCAGCTGCCTCCCGCCCATCTCCCACCGGGGATGTGCCCACAACCCAGGTGCATGCCCCCAACCGGAATCGAACCCGGGACCCCTCAGTCCGCAGGCCGACGCTCCATCCACCGAGCCAAACCGGCTTCGGCGACACATCATTATTACCCTAAGTCTATAGTTTATTCTAAGGTTCGTTCTTGGTGTTGTACATTCTATGGATTTGCACAAATATACAATGACAGGTATCCATCATTATAGTGTCTTGCAGAGTAGTTTCACTGCCCTAAAGTCCTCTGTTCTGCCTTAGACAGTTTGGCTTAGTGGATAGAGCATCAATCTGTGGACTGAAGTGTCCCGGGTTCAGTTATGGTCAGGGGCACATGCCTGGGTTGCCGGCTTGATCCCCAGTAGGGGGTGTGCAGGAGGCAGCTGATCAATGATTCTCTCTCAACATTGTTGTTTCTATCTCTCGCTCCCTCTCCCTTCCTCTCTGAAATCAATAAAAATATACTAAAAAAAAAAAAGTCCGCTGTTCTGCCTACTTTTCCCTTCCTCTCCTCTGACCCCTGGCAACCACTGTTCTTTTTACTGTCTCCATAGACTTTTCAGATTGGCTCCTTTCAGTTAGTAATATGCATTTAAGGTTCTTTTCATAGCTTGATAGCTTATTTCTTTTTATTGATGAGTAATATTCTGTTGTATGTATATACAACAGTTTGTTTATCCATCACCTACTGAAGGCCATTTTGGTTGCTTCCAAGTTCTGGCAGTTATGAATTAAAGCTGCTATAAACATTTGTGTGCAGGTTTTTTTGTGGACATAAGTTTTCAGCTCCTTTGGATAAATACCAAGGAGCGTGATTGCTGGATCATATGGTGAGAATGTGTTTAGTTTTGAAAAAACCACCAAACTGTCTCCAAATGGTCGTACCATGTTGCATTCCCACCAGCAGTGAGGGAGAGTTCCTGTTGCTCCACATTCTCGTCAGCACTTGGGGTTGTCAGTGTTCTGGGTTTGGCCATTCTAATAGGTATGTAGTGGTGTCTTATTTTTTAATTTACATTTTCCTGATAACATATATAATGTGGTCTTTACCCAGTTTTCTTAGTGAACACACAGGACAAGGAGAATAGTAAAGAAAAGGACATATTTTCATATGCTTATTTGCCACCTGTATGTCTTCTCTGGTGAGGTGTCTTTAAAAGTCTTTGGCCTATTTTTAAATCAAGTTCTTTTTTTCTTATTGTCGAGTTTTAAGAGTTCTTTTATATTTTGCATAACAGTCCTTTATCAGATATGTCTTTTGCAAATATTTTCTCCTATTACCCTTGGCATTGTATTTCACAGAGCAGAAATTTTTAATTTTAATGAAGTCTAATTTATCAGTTACTTCTTTTAAGTATCATGCCTTTGGTGTTGTATCTAAAATTTCCCTGCCATATCCAAGGTCATATAGATTTTCTCCTTGTTATCTTCTAAGAGATTTACAGGTTTGCCTTTCATAGTTGGGTCTCTGATTGATTTTGAGTTAATTTCTATGAAGGGTGAGGTCTGTGTCTGGATTCATTTTTGTGTTCTTACATGTCCAGCACTATTTGTTGAAAAGACCATCTTTTCTCCATTGTGTTGCCTTTGCTCCTTTCTCGGAGATACGTCAGCTTTATTTAGTAGGTCTGGTTCTGGGCTGTCCATGTTGTTCCATTGATCTGCTTGTCTAATTCTCATCAGTACCACTGTGTAGCTTCACAGAGGTTTTGGCATCAGGTAGTGTCAGTCCTCTCACCTTGGTCTTCCTCAACCTTGTGTTGGCTATTCTGGGTTCCTATATAAACTTTAGAATCACTTTGTCGATACCCACAAAATAACTTGGTGGGATTTTAATTAGTATTGCGCTGATATATAGTTCAAATAGGAAGGAACTGACATCCTGACAATATTGAGTCTTCCAATCCATGAAGGTGGAATGGTATTTCATTTTGAGGGGGAGGTGCTACTGTTAATGGTATATATTTTTTAAATTTCAGTTTCCACTTGTTTATTGCTGGTATATAAGAAAGTGATTGACTTTTGTATATTAACCTTTGTATCCTGAAACCTTTCTATAATAGCTTATTAGTTCCAGGAGGTTTTTTGTTGATTCTTTCAGATTTCCTACAGAAATGTTCTGCAAACAAAGACAGCTTTATTTCCTTCTTCCCAGCCAGTATGCCTTTTATTTCCCTGTCTTATTGCAGTAGCCAAAACTTCCAGTACATTATTGAAAAGGGGTGTTGAATCATCCGTCCTTCCTCCTGATCTTACTAGGAAAGCTTCTAGTTTCTCACCATTAAATATAATGTTGGCTCTAGGTTTCTTTTTTGTAGTAATTCTTTATCAAGTTGATGAAGTTCCCCTTTATTCCTAGTTTACTGAGGGTGTGTGTGTGTATGTGTGTGAATCAATAGATTTTAGCAAATGTTTTTTCTGCATCTGTTGATATGTTGCTGTGATTTTTCATTTTAGCCTATTGATGCGGTGGATTACAGTAGTTGATTTTCTAATATTGAACCAGCCTTGCATACTTGGGACAAATCCCACATGGTCATGGTGTATAATTCATTTTATACTTTGTTGAATTTGATTTGCTAATATTTTGTTGAGGATTTTTGCATTTATGTTCATGAGAGATATTGGTATGTAGTTGGTTTTTTTTTCTTGTAAAATCTTTGTTTCTTTTTGGTATTAGGGTATACTGGCTTCATAGAATGAGTTGGGAAGTAGTTCCTCTGCTTCTATCTTCCATAAGACATTGTACAGAATTGGTATAAAATCTTCCTTCAGTGTTAGGTAGAATTCACCAGTGAAATCATGACCTCTTGGTTCATGGGTTAATACCATTGAGCCACAGTGGCCAGGCAGAAATGATACACTTTTTAAAAAATATATATTTTTATTGATTTCAGAGAGGAATGGAAAGGGAGAGAGAGATAGAAACATTAATGATGAGAATCATTGATCAGTTGCCTCCTGATCGCCCCACACTGGGGATCGAACCTGAAACCCAGGCATGTGCCCGGACTAGGAATCAAACCATGACCTCCTGGTTCATAGATCGATGCTCAGTC